AAAGACTTGGCTGCTAACAAGCTATTCGTTTTCCTGATGTAATTATTCGAAATAGTGTTGTTAGATTTCAGAGATGTTAATTTTGTGATTATTCTACTAACTATTACTACCATTGAATTTGACAAATAGAGATTTAATTAAAGAAGATAATTATTGCAGGTGTTGTTCACGAAGAGTTTAAGACCTATGGCTATGACGTTTGTGTATTTTCATCTTTTCCAATTATTGTTGTTAAACATGATTAATATATTTACCGAATTGCTGAATCACAAGGTTGATAATATAATTATGGTCTTTCAAGCCGTATAGTCACCTATTCAAATTTGCTTCATGCCTACATTGTTGAGCGAAAATGTTGTAAACCTCTCTGAATACATTTGTATATCATCCTGTATTTGACTCAAGCAGGACAAACTAGGTATGTTTTCGCCCTAGCCGCTAATCCATCCTTGGATGAATCTTATCTCTCCAATCCACATTCTATTTATATATTTCGCGTATCTATTTCCAATAGCAATTATTCATTTACTTTATGGGTCCACGAAGCCAAAAATAGTTGAGTATGCTATTAAGAGAACAAAACATGTGTGCTAGAATCCACTAAACAGTTGTATTATTAGAAGAATATGTTCATACAATGGTCATAACCCTAGAATGAGGGATTTTAACTGTTCATTTTTTTATTATACATAAATGTCATGATCCAAAATCACAAGTCGTGATGGCACCTATGTTCCTAATGGATAGGTAAGCAAACCCAATAAATTTACCACTTAAAATTAATAAATAAAGTTGAAAGATAGGTGATAAGAAAATATCCTGAACACTAAGTCTTTCTTAAGTATAAAATGTGGAAAAACTAAATACCACCCAACATTTGGTGTCATAAGTACAAAAGCTTCTAAAACATGATGCAAGTCCGAAAATAAAATGATAAGTCTAGACGTAAGAAATATCTTGTTTGAATACTTGAACAATAGAATAAATAAAGTGATGGAGGGAAGTGTGGACTTATTGTTCAGTTTTTTGCCCTTTATATATTTCGTTTTTATTTTGTATTTATCTATACATATTTGTGTACATACAAAATTTCATTATTGTTGTTTGGTTATATATATATATTTTTATTTTTTATTTTTTTTTTATTTTGTATATTTTGTTTCTTGTATATAATTATCACTCACAATACCTTATACGAATTCATGGTATAACTTTCAACATTTATATACAACTGCTTATTTATCCATTTTAATAATTTATATACATATACAAGTAATTGTATATACTAATATGCTTATTTATAGAAATTTTGAAATAAACTATATATGTTAACAATGTTTTTTTATAAGTGAAGTTATTTTTGAATATGTTTATTTAGGGTGTTAGATTTCTACTCAAAGAAGCACTATGCAGTTTTATCTCTTAGCTATTTATGAAATATCCTCTTTATTTTTTTCCTTCACCTCCTTCTATATCTGTGATATTACCATTCACCTTCACCATTAAGCTCTGAGTTACTTTCAATTTATGCCCTTTCAAGACTATTAAAAAAATTGAATTTAGCGATGAACAATTTTTGTAGCTAAACAGTAAAATATGTCGCTAATCCTACTTGACGATGAATTAGCAACAAATTTTTGTTGGCTACGAGCAAAATAACGACAGACCAACAACAAAGTTCGAAGCTAATTTTAGTATTTTTTAGTAGCGTGTGATAGATCATTGTACCCCAAATGGTTGTGACTAGCTCCTTATAAAACTTCTTCCAACTCCTCCTTTTATACCATCTCAGTGTGTTTGATTACCAAGTTCAGCAGAGGGATACTTGACCACCTTTGTAGGACCTATTTTATCTTATTGATCCAATTATCATATTCCATAAACAGATGTTATAATATCTCCAGTTGATCAGCAACACATAGACCATACTTATCATCCTTAATTAGTAATCATATTCATTCTTTGTAGTGTTGCCTTAGTTAAGAGTCTACCCTTAAAAGCCAGTCACACAATGAATATGTGTCTAGCTAGGCATCATGATAAAGTTCCAAACCAAATTTGTCTCCTAAAATCTCAGTTGTCTACCAAGTACAGTAAAACCTCACTAAATTAATACAGATGGATCGTGAAATATTATTATTTTATAGAGTATTATTTAATTGATAAATTAATATTTATTAATTTAAAGTGTGTTTTGAAATTCAATGAAAGTTAATTTTGCTTACATCAAAATCATTGTATCTTACTAATTTATGTATCATATTTATTTAATTCATATAAAAAAAATTATTATACATAAGTACAATGAATACATAAAAATCATACATTTTTAGAGATCCAAAGCTTAGAAGAAATTGTGGATATCATCGAAAAAAACAATGTTGATGATAAAGTTGAAGATGATACAACTCTTTTGGAACCAGTTGCGCGTAAGGAAACACTTATCGCATCTAGAACTCTTCACAATTTTATGGTGCAGTTCAAAAAAACAACACCAAAACTTTTGGATGTAATAAGAAAAGTTAGAGATATTAAGCTTCAACTAGATTTAAATTTTAACAAAAAAATAAAACACAATAGAATCATATATCACTAAATTATCTTAGATATATTTGTGTTTTTGAAGAATTATTAATTTATAATATTAATAGGATCATATATATTTATATAGGGGCCTTTTAAAAATATATTATCTTATCGAAATTAGTAATTTCTTCCATTGGCCTAAGTTTGAACCGGAGGAAAATATTATTTTAGAGATTATTAATTTATCGAATATTAATTTAGTGAGGTTTTAGTGCATAGTAATTTTGTGAAACTAAATAAGCTTTCATTTCTTGTCAACCTATAAACTCCATTGGTGTACCAACTGCAATCCGTTAGTGGCATATGACTTCTACATACTATCTCTCTAAATTGATACAAGAAATAAATAATTATTCACATGTACTAAATTTTGTTTATTCAATAGTTTAATTTAGCTTTTGTTATTATTTCTTCTAATGTTCGATTGACACCAATTTTCATCTAGACACCTCACGTAAGCCTGGTCTATTTTAAGTACTCGTAGTAGGGTTAGGGAAGGAGCTACAGAGCTGACCACCCTTTGCAGAAAATCAGACGTAAATAGGCAAAATATTCTTTATTATTTGAATATATAGATAAATGAACACAACGAATGGTGTTGGTCTAGCGGTAATGTCGCTCAGCTGAGTGTTTAATGTCCCAAGTTCGATTCTTGCTTTAGAACACAATCTTTTTTTCCAAAAAAGAAAGAAGAAAGGAACAAAAATAGTTGCTCTATCTTTCTATTTCTAGCCTTGAATTAATAGTACTAAAAAATTACATTAAAGATATACTTAAAGGTCACTTTTATACTTTTGATTATTTCTAAATTATTTTTTAAAATAGTTAAGAATCTCAATAAAAGAAAAGGTAAATATAAAAAAAAAAGGTCTCAACAATTCTCTTGAACTACAAAAAATTCACGAAAAAACTCCTAACAATTCATTTGATATCAACCTAAGGGAGTCTATTCAATTAGAAGCTAAAAATGTTTTTCTTAGTTTTTCTCCGTTAGTTTTGATTTATACCATTGATAGTTTTATAATTTAAGTGTTTGTATGATTTAGTTAAATAATATCTAATTTAATTTTAAATTTGGATGCACCCACTCATTAGTAAAAAACATATTTTGTGCACCCACTTCGCTATAAAAAAAATTTCACTATTTTATAGTTTGAACACTCTTGACGAAATTTCTGGCTCCGCCACTGATTAGGGTCTTATCATTTTGACACTTTTTTCACCTCTATGTTGCCTCTCCCAAGAGATTTTTTTTCCTAGACTTTTTAATACATCTCCCTCAGGTGTCTCATCATCCAATTTGCTTCTTGTAACCTAACAAAGCAAAAGTAGTATTGAGCTTTAACTCTTTACATTGAGAAAAATTAGTCTCTAGTATATTATATGAGGGGAATATAAAGACTTTTAGTTACATACATTTACTATACCAAATTCATCTAGAGAGGAGATTTATTTCCTTTCTTTGAGTATTCAAATATTTGGTATTTCTACTATTTTCTACATGTTTAACACTTAGCTACTTAATTCCCTTGATTTTTCATATTGCTTTAATTTGGCAATAGATATTAGAAGTCATAAACTTTATGTTAAGTTATTCTAAAATTGGAAACTTTAATAAATATGGAGAAAGTGAAAATGACTATACCTCTACCAACTTGCAGATATATATACTCAACATACACTAGAACTATCAAAAGACATCATACCATTACTTTCTTGGTGCAATGAGGGCAGAAGTGAGTTTTCCATTGTGTTTTGCTTTTCTTCTATTCAAGGATTTAGTTGTGGTAAAGAGACCAAAATTAAGAAATTAAACAAAAAAAAAATTGAGAACAGTTTTACATCATCAAAAATCGAGTCACTACGCAAAAAAGGATCTTTAGTGGTAATTAATTAATGACAATAATTTAAAGCCGCTAAATATGTATCTTTAAAGACAATTAGCACTCTTAAACGTCCCTATGCCTATATCAATATTAAATCTAATGACAATTAACTAATGATGTTAAAGACTTTAGCATTCTTTATTATTGTATATATTTAATGTCGCTAAAAGCCACTACTAAAAAATGCTTGAAAAACGACGGCCAAAAGCAACGGACAACATTGTTATTTTGAACGAATTGAAAAAAAAGCAATGCAGTCACTTTTGTCACTTTGTGAAAAGCAACGGTCAACATCACTTTGGAACGACAGATTTCATCATTTATTATTTTACTTTTCAAAATCTTTCTTTTTGGTCTAAACGACGAATGGCGTCACTTTTTTTTAAGAAGCGACGGTCAAAAGGACCATGTCCGGGCAGGCAGTAGGCTCATTTAGTAGACAGCGAGCGAGCTGCAAGCACCTACTCCTACGACCTGTAAATAAATTGTTACATATTCATTCCAATCAATAAGCATATGCACACAATATAATAACAAACTTAATCAAACATCCATAAACACTAAAATCATAATATAAAAACATAAAAATCTTTTTAAAAAAATTGCTACAAGAAGTATAAAATGATCACTAAAGAGATGCTAAGAGGCGGAGGCTATGTATTCGGCTTTTTCATCACTCGAGGGTCCTCTTGAAGAACGAGACATACTAGGCCGACGAGCGAGGTTATACACTTATTCTTTGATTTTCTCAACGGTTTTGCTCATTCTTTCATTTTCAGCAACTCGTTGAACCTCGGACACTGCCAATGCACAAGTAAGTTACGCAATTTGTTGTGACATAGCAGCTATTTGAACACCATCAAGTATCTCGATTTGGCATGACGATCCAAAACCTTCTAATCCTAATTGGAGTCATCATACATCGTCCCGAGAGCTCATCCCGTAGATTCTGCTCTTATGTGTCCCCCTACCACTTTTTCCTTCCAAAATTGAGAGGCTTAGCTTGTTCAAGCGTGAGTTGGATCAAATCGCCCAGAAATTCTTGAATTTGGTCCATCTCAAGCAAGTGTCGTTCACACACTATGCATATTAAAAACAAAACTCAACATCAAAATATATATACATAATAAATGCACTATTTTTTATCCTAACATTTCATCATCTTGTCTAGCTGGCTTAAGTGCACCAAACAAGGTAGTACTAACACAGAGCTAATGCATGCGTTAATTTTGCTAATACACTCTACCAAACGCCCCCTTAGTTTAGAAGATACTCATATTAGAGCCACAAACTTTCTTGTCTTGTTTTTTAATTAAAGAAAACTGAAAAAACTTTCTCGTCTTTAATTAGTAGTACAGTAATATAGTTCCTACAGATGATGAAAAAAGTAAAAGTTGGTAAAAAAAAACACCTTCACTTGTTCATGGCGGAATTTTATGTATCTCATATTACTTCAAGGAGAACAGAAGCTGTATTTGTCTGCAAATACAACATATATCAGGATCATCCATATGGTAAAAAAATCTAAGATGAACAAGAATAGAGTGAGAGCTTATTTAATTTTAGCAAGTGCAGGGAAAAAATCTCAAGGATATTCCACCATTTGGTACCTCAAAGACCATGTCCTAAAATAAAAACAAAAAAACTTTGCCACAACTTCTCTATACTCATAAATCCTATCCACAAGCTACAAACGACATAAGATAAGAAGTTCATGCAAAATATATCTATATTTATAAACATCTGACCAACAATAACAGAATTGCAGCAAAAAGGAAGTAGGAAAAACCTTGGAGGAAATGGTAACATCGGCCTTTAGACGTTTTGGTGTACGAGATGTGAGGCTAGTGCTATGCTCTAGGCAAATTGGGCTTCTTTTGTGTTGCATCATATTTCCTTCTATTGCTTCAATTTGCAATAGAAACAAACATATTCCTTTTCTATCCAAATTCACCAAACAATACAAGCAGGGACTATTTTCTAGATTTTCCTCTCAGGCATGACCCAACTGAGCCCAAAATCTGAAACGAACATATTCCAAATTTCTATAGCAACTGAGCAGTGTAGTAGAGATGACTGCTGGTTTCTATACATTGTTTGCACAAGTAGCATCTGTTGACAATGTGCATTTTTCTTCTGTTGAGATTATCTTCAGTCAAAACATGCTTCGTATGGTGCTTTCCAACTGAAGCAAATCACCTTTGGTGGTAATTTTGTTTCCCAAATTAGTTTCCACGACCAGCTTTCCACCATCTCATTCTGTGCACAAAGGGTTGAGTAGCCTGCATTGACAGAGTATAAGCCATCAGCTTTGTTTCTTGCCAGTAAAGTTGCACGGACATACTGCCTGGCATGATGAAGATTTTTTCAGTAAGGAAATTAACTATGGCAAAACATGCTACAACACTATACTTGTGATTTATACAGTCTGTAAAAGTGACTGTTTGCAAATGTGACAAGCTTCCATTTCACATTATTGACTACCAAGATTCTTTAGTGGCTGACCAGGAAACATACCATTGTCACTTATAAGTTAAAGAAAGAATATGGAAGTACACCAAGAAAAACGAATGCAACACTAACAGAAAAAAAGTGAAAAAAACTGCACAAATCACAAGGTTTGAAAACTGCCCGTGAGGACAGGGAATGGAGGAAGTGGGAGCAGTAGGTTCCAAAGTCTTCTTCTATACTACAAATTTGATACACATTCAAACAAAAACCTGCCGTAAATCAAACTTAAAACTGCCCCATTTTTTCTAATGTCCTATCTTTCCATTAAAGTTAAAATCAAATTTACACTTCTTTTCTGCCACTTGGCTAAAATATTTCACACTGTCTAACCAAACAATGAAAAACATTTCCAAGGAAAATATTTTCAAGAAATCATTTTGAAAAAAAATTATATTCTGGAAATAACCTGTGTCATACCCCACACACCCTCGATCTCTTCTTTTAAAGCATATATTTTTCGAGGTAAATGCTAGCAACCTGTATTAATAAACCATGTTTAAGTTGCAACAAGGAGATAACATGGCATGGTATACAGAACAAAGTTAAGTGGAGAACAAATCAAGAAAATTAATGGAAGAAGAAACCACGACTTGAGTATGCAGTAGTAAGTATACTTGTATATTCATTGGAGAATAAGCTGAGAGCCTGAGACTTACCAGTGAGCCATGATGTGAAGCTAACTAACAAATCTTGCTTGAACTCTCAGATTTCTCTGACACACCTATTCATTGAGAGCTCTCCCTTGCTGAAACTTTCACAATTGGAGACGCATATATCATCCTTGCTGACTTGTTGAATTTTACTGGTACTGGAGCTTCCCCAACTTCAATGCGGAATCTTTTCAATCTAGTCATCCATGTGTGGTCTCCATTGAGAATTGATGAAGTATCCAATTTAATAAAAAGGCAGTTTGGAGCTTGACGCGGTAGTCTTTAGTAGCTCATTGTTCAAATTCTTCACCAAAGTAGTCTTTCCCACTCCTCCCATAATGATCCCCACCTGAAAGGATTAAAAAGGCCCAAAAAATAATTTATCCACAAGTGAAAATGTAACAATGGCTATATAAAGAAATTTAGCAAAACTAGAGAGAAGGAATTGGAAGCTTTAATCATTCACTCATAATCTCAACTTTTTCAGCTTAGCAAGTACCAAATCCTAATTATTTTAGGATTACTAGTCTTGGTTTAATTCCAACAATACCTCATCATCTTCTAATAGTTGTAGGATTTTGTTGAGATTCCTTGTTGCTGCTGACTGGCCTTCTATTGATGGTCCTGAGATGAACTCAACTTTTTTTCATCGGGTAATATTCTACCATCAAATTGGATTCAAAGCTTTCTCCAATATCTATAAGCTTACAAAGTTGATCTCACGGGTTTTGTGCTTGAGTGGAGACTTCCAAGTGAAGGCTGCAATTTGGACAGCATTTTTATGCAAGCTTCTTCGTCATTGCAATGCTTTCTTGAATAGACTCCCATTCATTCTCCAGCTTCTGAACATCCTTGAGCCACTTAAGGACATCCGGTTTTGGTTTATAGCCTTCTCTCTCAACTCCTTCCACCTTCTCCTTGATAGCATCTCCTTAAGACCTTGAGCCACTTCAAAACATCTGGTTTTGGTTTATAGCCTTCTCTCTCAGCTCCATCCACCTTCTCCTTGATAGCATCTCTGAACTTTGTTAGCTTCTCCATGTCCTTCCTATAATTTCAACATTTGATGAGAAACGGACTGTATTTTCAATCTTAGGATAGAAGCATTTAAACACAAACTTCCCCGCCTCAACAACAAAGTTAGATACAACAGAAAGAGTATGTCCATTGAATATATTACTCTTGAGGTAAATAAAGAAAAATGTTTTATGAGAATGCTAATGATGCTCTCAAAGATGATCAAATGAAGTTAAGCTGATTGTTTTTACTTTGTTTAAGGCACTACTTACAGAAAATAAATTATTCGATTTTAAATTGTTGTTGTGGAGCCTCTTCAATCTTGCTCATATGGGAGAAGAATGATTCCTTTTATTTTAAGAACTAGACAACCGTTATTTTCTACTATAATCTTAAAAATATTTGTTGATCCATTCACTTCTACCCAGGATATTGGATTCGACTCCTTGAATGGAGAAACTCCTGGAAGAAAACACTATGATATTGGAAAAATTACGCTAAAAAGAAGAATTATTTAACCAGTCATGAAGTTGCAAGATAAATACTTAGCACAATATCTCTATATTTTACTACTACATTTTCCTTCTTCATAAAGTAGAATTCCAGAAAAATCTTTAATAAGTTTTATATAGTTGTTGTGTAGCCTCTTCATTCTTTTGCATAGATGGGAGAAGAATGATTCCTTTTATATTAATAAGTACTTTGGACAACCTTTCTTTTCCCTACTATTTAACAACAAAGCAAACATATAGGAAAGAAAAGAAGGAAACAAATGTTGCCAGCAAGAGAGTATCAGCTGTTGCATTTCCTTTATTCTTGAGAAAAGAGTGCAGCAGAGACTTCTCTTATTTTTCTGCTGCGAAAATGCTTGTATTTTTTTCTCTTCTGTTTTGATTATTTCAAACCCTTACTTGACCCATTCTAAACTTTTTGAATAGAATTATGTCATTATGTTTTTCTTCTGTACAACACAAATTGTACTATCCTATAAGATTGATCTTAGTTTTGGTGCTAAGAATCTTAAAGGTTGAACCCATCAAACTTAAAGATTGAACCCATTTCTGACTTGAATTAATGCAAGGTAGCATAAAGTTATCCACAATAGATCACTCTCTGTTGTCACTGATTAAGTCCTTTTTAGTTTGTCACTGCCTCTAAGTTTATCTATCCAACTTTTGTTGTCAATTTCAACTCTTTCCGTATGTAAACTATTGATGGAAGAAGGCAGTGTGGTACCAGTTTCACTCAGATTCAGAACTATTAGGGATGGAAATGCAAAAATAAGTTCATGCGGAATTTTCACAAGAGGATAATTGTCTTGCAAAAGTAAAGAAGTTGTCTTTCGGCATTCCATGAAGCAATCAGGTAGATTATTAATTCTAAAACCTACAAAAGATATTCTCTTGAGAGAAGCAGACATTTTAATATGTGATATCTCAGCCAACTCAAATCCAACCTGAATAAGAGAATTGTGTGCATACCCAAAGGAATTAGCTATCCATGTACCCAACATCTTGAACTACGTCATGCATCTTCACAGAATCAAACTCATACATTTCAGGCAAGCAGGCATCTTTTAGACTCTCAATCATTGTGATTCCCGTATTGTAGGCTTCATGTGTTACGTTCACAAAGTAACCCATCTGCCCATCGGCAATGTGTATGAGATCATCTATTGGAATAGTCATCGGATATAAGGAGCAATACAAGAAACAACTTTGAATGTCACCTCTCTTTTTGACATATTTGTTATGAGGTTTGGACATTCCAAGTGATTCTAAAGAATCTTTCCACAACTCGACCCTCTTCTTCCCTCACAGATGCTCCAATAACAACAATTGCTAAAGGTATACCATTGCACTCTCTTGCAATTGCCTTTGCGAATGGTTGACTATGCTCCAAAGAGGCATTATCTTCTACTTTTTTGACAAACAGTTGCCAAGATTCATCCTCATTCATAGTGTACACCTTTGTTTCGGTGTATGTTTTCATTTGCCTACAAAGATCCAAAAACAAGAAGTTAATAATTACTTTGCTTCTTGCAAGATTTTCAAGTTGGGGTACACCTACATAATCCAAACTTATAGCTTACCAAGCATGATCCAGTATAAGAACTGAGCTCATTTCTTGCTTGAGTCTTTGATGAATTTTATTGGCAACGTCTTGTACTCTTTTGTTGACATCAACCTTTATGTCTATTCTATTGGCAATTTTTGTTTGAACCTTGTTTATGTCTATTGGCGGTTTGGGAACTGTAACCCATACCACAAGACCAAAAGACAGTTTAGAGCCTGACGCAATAGTCTTTATGAGTTCATTATTCAAATTCTTCACCAAAGTATTCTTTCCAACTCTTCCCATACCACATACACCAATGATGGAAACCTGAAAGTATTGAAATATCACAAAAAGTAACTTACCCACAAGTAAAAGATGCACAATGACTAGGTAAAAAGTTTGAACAAACTAGAAAATGAGCGAGGTATAGGCTTTTACTCATATTCTTTTGATCTTAATTCAAGCTTCACTTAACTTCGCTAATAAAAGATATAGTAGCACCCGTATTTATAATAATATTTCTACTTTGACTAAAAACCACTTTGTAAAACTAATTAGACATGAATTGATGAAATTAACAACTATCAAATCTAAAACAAACTAGGATTTTAGTAATCTTGGTTTAATTCCAAAGTTAATTTCTCAAAAGGCAAAAGGTCAAATCTACCATTGAACTAGGTAGAATGGTATAAATTTACCCTCCAATTATAGTTGGAGTCAAATGTGCCCTTGTTGTTATCCAACTGAGCTAGATAACCCCTTATTTTTCAAATGTTGGAAGCTTAACACCCAATGATGCCACGTCTACCACAATTAAGTCATATTTTTTTCAACGGAGCACAAATCTACATCTTTCACATAGCTCAAGGGAAAATTTGATCTTTCTCCTTGCTTTTAGTTTTTTTTCTCATTACTCTTTCACTCTCTACTACTATCCCCACCACTAATCACCCTTCCTTCCTGATTCTCTCATTTCCACCACAACCGCCACCACTGTCTTCCCTTCCTCTTCCCCTTCCCCCCTCCTCTATCTCTGTACCCCTACCTCCTCCTCTAACCCTTCATCACCTGATCCACCCTTCCATGCAACTTTTCACCAACACTCTCTCTTTCTTTGTCACACTTACCTCTTCTTATCACACGAGAACAAGCCTTATGGCCATGCCACAAGCTAGAACAACTTTCACAAATGAAATTTGGTATTCTCAGATAATAAGTTTAATTATCAAAAGATGCATTTTGACTGAGAGATCAAAGAGGCTGTCTGTCTCAGAAAGCTTCTCTATTTTGCCAAAATCATTTCTTTATTTAATACAATAAATCATGAAACACACACATCCTAACTCTTTACTAGATGACGAAAAAAAAGAAAAAGAACTAATTTTTGCTACAAAAGAAACACACATATCCTGATCCCTTCTTCTTCCCAAACAAACCCAGCAACCTAGATGGAAAATGCCTAAGCAATCGGAGAAACTTTTTTTTAAAAAAATGATATCAGAAAAGAAAAACCACCAACCGTCAGTTTTAAAATTTCAACTTTCCATGAAAGAAGATCAACATCAACAGCAACCGCAGCAGCCATGATTTCAAGCAAACCAGCAGCTTGCTCACAGAGTCACAGTGTTACAAGCTATGGTTAGCGTTCTCTAGGTAAAGCCGTCGTTTGGGCTCATTGGACCGGTTTTTGATACGATTGGGCTACAAGTTTTAGAGCTGGAAACTAAGCAAATAAAGTAAAATAATTATAAATACATATTCCTTTATATTCATACTCTATTAAATAATTTCAACTAATTTTGATTAACTATTACTAAATTACTATCCTATATTCAGAGGCGGAGCCAGGATTTCACGTCAGTGGGTTCTAAATTTTTAAAAAGAACAATGATCTTAACCTAAAGTAACAATCATCAAATTAACGAACAAATACAAGTTCACTAAAAACAAATAAGGAAAAAAATGAAAAGGGAGAGACAGAAGTACACACCAGAGGCCAGATGTTGGATAACATCAATTAGATCAACAATAAAAGTTAGAACCCTAACTTTTGGAGAGAAAAATTGAGTTAAACTTTTTGAATGTGAGTAGAAATCAATAGTCATATATTGTAGTTTCAGAGTACGATACAAATACTATTTTCCTTTTTTTTAAAAAAAAATTAATTACGACACAAATACTATTTCCTTACCGATATTCTATTTTTTTTATTTTTTTTATATAAACACACGTTTAGAAATTAATCCCAAAAAACGGTGTGCCTACCGAGATTCGAACCCACATTCCGCAGGGGGTGAACGATCTCATTGGGTGCAGAGTGATCACTGGGTCAAACGCTTCAGTGTGCTTATGGGTTTGCAAGAAATATATATATACATTGTACTTCATATTTTAATACAAATATAGGGTCTACGGAAAAGCCAGTGGGTTAAGTCGAACCCCCTTCCGCTACAGTAGCTCTGCCCCTGCCTATATTGTATTGATAATTAAGACTGATAATTTCACTTATATATATACTGATTTATAGTATTAATTAAACGAAATTATCAACCTTAATGATATCAATACAATGTATGATATTGATTTAGTATCAATTAAGCGAAAATTATCAGTCTTAATGAATGGAGGTATGGGCTGTAAATTATTTCTTTTAGAGAATGAGTATTTCTTGAATTAATTTGGATTGGAGTATGAACATGTAACTATTTTGAGTTTTATGGCCCATTTATTTAGTTTCTTCATTTTAGAATGTGATTTTTAAGTCTGACCTGGATAAATGAGGGTTAAGCGAGGTTGTGCTTATGTTTAGATTGGCTTATTACTTTTGATTTATAAGTCAAAAGTTATAAGTTAGCATTTTTAAATTATGATTTTTAATTTATTTTTATTATTAGTATTTTTAATTTTATATCAACATTTTACAAGTGCTGAAAAATTATTTTAACTTTAAAGCACTTAAAATAAATCAATTCGAAATTTTGTCAGTTCATGGGTTAAATAAAAAATAAATAGAAATTATATAAATAAAGTATTAAAAACAATAAGAGTAGTTCAAACTCTAAATTTATTTATAAATGGATAGAGTAATGTCAATCCTTTTTTTGTGATTATTGTGAAATTGGGACAAAGCTAAGTTAATATTTTTAATTAATTAATTGTATTGTTACTCATTAACTGTTTAATTTTCTTTAAAATAGCTATATTTGTTTTGAATGATATCAAGTATTAATATGTTAACAATGTCAATAGTTATTCAATTTTTAAAAAAAATTAGGTCCAAAAAAATTATTTTCTTATAGGGTTGTATCCAACATATTTTCATAAAATGATAGAGATTTCAAATTGAATTAAAAACAATCAAATTTGTTTCAAGACCATCAAATCAGTAAAAAGAATCATATACAACTTAAATTATTCTGAAACAACCAAATCAAAACGAAAATTCTCTACGTAATGCCCATTATTAACAAAAAAAATTGATAACTAATAATTAATAAATATCATGAGAATTATTTTATTTATGGATCCGAGACTTGGTTATTTAGTAGCAACAACATATAATATAATATTTTTTCGGACAACTAGCTTTTCATAAACCACCAAAATTGTTCTTTAAATTTCATAGCATGCTACATCCCAACACTGCTAAAACAGAATAACACAAAGTTAGTGTAAAAAATGAAACTATGAACTAGCATACGTATTTTAGGAGGAGCTTTCACACAGCTAGCAATTAGCATATATAATCTATCTAGCTATAGCTTTCCAAGATCAACTTTGTTTCTCAAATATCCTCTGATTTCTTTCATTCCATATCCCATTTGTGAGTTCTGCATACATCATCTATTCATCTTATAAATATTTATGCATAGATTAGCTCCTATTTCCACAAATACATCATATGTACCAAATTTCATTTATATATTATGGTTCGAGTGAGAATAACTTGCCAATTGATAAATCAATTTGTCAATCTCAGCCTTGACAAATAAGTCATCCACAATTTTTATGTCGTCGATTTGAGAATGAAGGAAAAAATTTATAGTTACTCCAGATGATGAGGAGCCACGAAATATAAATGAAACTCTTACATGCCCAGCAAAAAATGATAATTTTAAACAATAAAAGAAGAGATTGAGTCAATGAAATTTAACCAAGTATGCAAATTGGTTGATCTACCTATAGACCGAAAAGCTATTAGAAATAAGTGGATTCTTAAAATCAAGTGTAAGACAGATAGTTGTATCGAGAGTTTCAAAGCTCTCCTGGTAGCTAAGAGTTACACACAATAGGAAGGAATTGATTATGAATAAACTTTTTCACCAGTTGTACATTTTACTTCAATAAGAGTAATTTTATCTATAGTGGCTAAGTTGGATCTTGAATTGTATCAAATGAATGTGAAAATTGCATTCCTCAATGGAGACTAGAAAAAGAAATCTATATGGAATACCCTGTAGGTTTTGTTAATAAAGGCGAAAAAATAAGGTATATCAACTTCAAAGGTCGATTTGCGGCCTTAAACAGACGATGGTATTTACTTTTTCATAATGCGATCAAATTTTATGATTTTTTTATGATTCATGAAGATCATTGTGTATACATCAAAAGATTCAAAGATAAGTTTGTGATCTTATCATTATATGTAGACGATATACTAATAGTTGTAAGTGACATTAATTTTGTAAAAGAAACAAAATAGTGGTTATCATCTACTTTTGAGATGGGGTGAAGCAACATACATTCTTGGAGTTAAGATTTTCAGAGATTGTTATTTCTTATACAAGAATCTTACATTATGAAAATTCTTGAACGCTTCAATATGCAAACCCATAGTATCTAAAAGTGAAGTTTGAATCGAACGATATGCCCTCAGACTTCACATAAGAAGGAACAAATGAGAAAAACTTCTTACGCCAATGTAGTCGGAAGTTTTATGTATGCTATGAAGTGTACTAGATCGGATATTTGTTATGCTTTTGGGTTAGTTAGTATATATCTATTCAATCTAGGACTGCAACAGTACTGAAAAATCAACTATTGAGGTATCTCAAAGGCACAATCAACTATTCTTCATGTTATCAAGGAAATAATCTGCTACTCAAAGGCTATACAAATACTGATTGGGGAGGAGATCTAAATGAGAGAAAATTCACCTTTGGATATGCATTCTTACTTATGATGGTGCCATATTATGGAATAACAAGAAATAGTCATGTATAGCCTTATCTACAATAAATGCTGACTTAAACATTTTCTAGTTCACTTGGGTGTGAATAACAATGTTGTTGAACCTGTCATAATCAATTGTGATAGTCAAACTGCAATAGCCTATCCAAAGTACCATGGAAAGGTGAATCATATTGAAATAAAAATATAGTTTTGTAATAGACATGGTAGAGTTTTTGGCTAAAATCATCCCTCAACTATGACTCAAATCTAATGTACATCCTTATATTATCTAAGTGGGCAAAAAACATCCTTATACTATCCAAAAAATAACAAGAATCATCCTTCAATCCATTTTTGTTAAGAAACTGATTGAACTAATAAAAATATATATTTTTTAATTTGGTCATGTCTTAGCCACGACGAGAAGATCAATGTTACCTAAAAAGAATAAGGATATGAATAGAAAATTAATATTTTATTCTCATAATTTAAATTTTGTGTGTTGTTAGTTTATATGTTTTTTGCATCATCAAGTAATTGTCTTGCAACAATACATAAGTTTTTGAAATATTTATATAGTAGGTTCCGATGGTTAGAAAGACTATGCAAAAAAAATCATTTTAAAAATATTATGTGCAACTATTTAGAGATTCTCTTTAATAAAAAATATATATAGTACGTATATACAATGCAATTCACATTTTATACAATATATAAAAATACTGGAAATTTAGTGAAATTATGTAGGCGTTTTGTTGTGAAAATTAAATAATAATTACTTTATTTGAAATTTTTGAAGTTGGAGTTGTATTT